GATACTCGTTGGAAACTAGTGTCAACAATAATGTAGTATCAATCAAAATCAAAGTTTAATAATACACGATGAACGGATAGTCGTTAAAATATTGGCATTTTTCCCACGAATGATGGGAAAGTTCAAACTAATTATCATAATAATTAAATAACAAACATATGGAAATGTTTTGCTTATACAATTTTTAATAATAAATTGCGGACAAGTAACAATCTGACTCGCGCACGAAGAGTTCCGTACCGTTATCTATTGAACAGCAAAATTCGCTATTGTTGTACGGGCAGCGGCAGACTAAAGAGGACGGAGGCCCGGTTCGACAACTTTTCAACCAGGGCAGAAACTTGATATTGCCTTTACACCCTCCCCACACATATGTATCTTTATGATATTATTATGATTTTGGCGGATGGCTGCAACAATTCGGGGGCCCTTAAGGACCAGTGGCCCGGAGCAGACCTCCCCCTATGTTCCGCCCTTATTCTGCTACTGGTACGGGAGCCCAATTAAATATTTATTTTATTTTGTTTTCTAACTATCACTGTTTATGAGATACAGTTTTGTAATAGACGGACCGACAGCGGAGTCTTAGTAATAGTAAGGCCACAATATCAAGTTTCGACAATCAAATAAAACCTACTTCAAAAGCTAATATAGGTTTTATTTATTTTAAGTTCTATGCTGTTAGAGCGCTTGACGTCGAGTTTTAGGCTGTTTTCAGTACTGCTGGAGATCTTTTGACTGAAGAATGAGCTAAAAAAATTATCACCTGTTAACAGTAATACCCAGGGTTACCACCTTTTTGGAAACAAAATTCAAGACACTCGGACCGTTATCAGAAGTAATCAGACCTCAGTCCAAAGTTGATTCTTTTAAAAAAATACCGTTTTTGTATTTTTAATTCATTTAAGGTTACGAATAGACATGAGGCCCTCCTAATGAAAAGCGGTGATCTCACTAATTATTATGAACCATAGGTAATCATAGCATATGTACTCTTTTAACCTATTTTCAGAGAATGTTTTTAATTAATATTAAAATTTTCTGTCCAGTTTATCAAAAATCGGGACAAAATGAATTTAAAAGTCGGGACGTACAAAAACATCACTGAAATCGGGACTATCCCGGAAAATTCAAGACGGGTGGCAACCCTGGTAACTAACGACGTGACGCTTCTACAAACTTATGTCATATCTAAATCAATCAATGCTAATGTACGACATACTTACAAAAAATATAGTTAGGATAGAACATTTAATAAAGCAAAAGCGATTAATTCTATTGCTATTAGGTATTAAACTAAAAAGTTAGGCATTAAATTTACCTGCCAGTTGACATTTCATTTGTAGCATCCTAAATATTACACTGTAGTTCAATTGAAAAATATATAACTTAATGAGGGGATCCTTATCGCAGGTAATGTTAATGATAATAAGTATCCTCTGAGGATTAATACCTAATTAAGAATTCATTAATTATGTCCACCGGGAAAGCGACGAGAAAGCTGCAGGCAGAATTATTTGGATGATTAAATATGAATTATTTATCCTGTGATAATTTTAAAATAATTAATTCAAATAAAATTATTAATAAGAAACATTGCACTTTCAAATTTAAATAATTTTGAAAACTTCTTATAATATTAAGTATTACCGTTAAATCCAATATTCAAGTCTATTTATCGATTTAAAATTTTAATTGTACTTTTAATTAGCAATTATTAACATGATTTGTCACTGGATACTTAACACTGTCACTATCGCGTGCTGGATACAAACTGGTGGACAACGGGCCCCATCACCAGCGATGTAACGTGAGAGCGGACTATAAACATCCACCGTCGGCTGGCATCCCCGCTCAGCTGGCGGCCATAGTAACTAATGCGACACATGATAATACTGCGACCACCTTAGTGGTTATTTGCTAAAATGATCTCTGGTATTTTTTTTTTATTCTTATCTAACGCCATTGCTTATTACTAGAAACAAGAAAATACCAACCATAAGTGTTTCATTTTCAAATATTTCAACTTTCAGGCAGCAAACTAATATTAATATTTCTCTTCTTTCCTTCTTTCCTCATTGTTTATATATATTCCTTCTACATTAGTTACGTGGATGAGATTACTGCGTAATAAAGCAGCCCTTTGTATTATCTATTTTCTAACTTATCTGTAATATGTCATGTATCTATAGAGGTATAATAATATATTCTTTATTCCAATTAAACTTATTGTACTATATTACACTCGCTTTCTGTCTGACTAATTGCTCTTAACAATATTTTAATTTAACGAAATCTCAAAACCATTACATTCTATTTGTTACGCAAAGTTGTCTTTATTGGTCCTCACGCATCGACAATTGCCTACAATAATTATATGAGAAAGAAATTGATTAGCAGCAAGCTGCAGATGAGCTTTTGTTTTTGACATAGCAATTTGACATCTTTCAATACGATAATAATAAAATTCACATTGGAAATCAAATCCTAGATAGGAAATACCGAAAGCAACAACTAAGAATAAGTTGCACTTTCGGTTTCATTTTTCAGTAAGCTCTAAACAAATATTGAAATATAGGCAGATTTTTCATTATATTTCACAATCGATCCATAAATTAGCAACTAGGTATTTATCTATTCTAAATAGAATTTTAAATGAAATACAAAAATTTTGTAAAGACGTTTTAAAATATCATATACATTACATAACAATGTTTCGGTTTCTGATTTTGATGAATTATTATTTCCTTACATTTTTTATAGATTCACAATGCTCATACAATTTCAGGCCCTCGTAACGACTGTATTATTTATCTAGTAGTAGGATGAATCCGATTTGTTTCCAATAAACATGATTGCTTTGTTATAACAAAAATCCATCTCTTCTTTTGTTTGGCTCGTGCTAAATCAATTTGTATTTATTTCCTGCGGAATCTTCGGAATTGATAAACAGGACGGACTGAGTTACAAAGAAATGTTGATTTTTTACAAAGAAATACACGCGCCTCGTGTTTACATAACATTACTATGAAAATGTTATGTGGACGCATTCTCTGTGGCTACAATTCATTAGACACTACTTGTTATAGTAAAAATGCTGTTTTTTTTAATAATACGAACAAAAATCTGTTTGCACTTTCGCAAAGTAACATTAATAAAATCTTTTTTTTTTTACATTTTGGTATATTCATCAAATGTAACGAATTTTAGCAGCAGTTACATCATGGGCGCTTTAATATCAGGTAAGACGAAATAATAATATTGATAACTGCAGCCCTTGGTGTCTTAAAGTCTTGAATTCGATTTCCTATGGAAATTACAGAGATTTTTTAAATGTTTGTTAGTTTATTTAGTTATACATTTCATTTTTATGAGTCTGTTTAACAAATTGTAGCCTGTACTATTTGCTTTTATAGACATTCAAATTTCCCGACAGGCAAGTCTATTAGTGTGTAATACCTAACTATTATGTTTTATATTACCAATTTCAATAAAAACCACTTTTAAGTTTTGCTACAAGTTTGTAGCAAAACTTAAAAGTGGTTTTTACAAAAGTGGTTTTACATACGAGGACCCTACTAGTAAAACTCAGTATTAACAGAGTGCACGTATGTATGTTCAGGGTTATTTTTATGCAATAAACGGTTTATTTAGTTTTTTTGTTTTATAATCATATTATTATGATCATATTTTTGGTGGAGAAATCAATTAGCTACCTGTTGCTATATCATAACATGTGACATTATTACTTGAAATCCATCCAAGAAGGTATAATATAAGAGTTATGCTTCATTTTTTTGTGACGAAAATAAAGTTAAGTGAGTAATATTCACGCGCCTTCTTCAAAAGCCTGAGTTTCTGAGAGGGTTTTCAATGACGATGTCGTTTTAGCTCTTAAGCTTGAGGCCATCGTAAAAATTCACACAAAGAGATCTATTCTTGATTTTTCTTTGTAGAATAAGTTTACTTTGATACTAACTTCTTTCAAAATATACGTTTATATATTTAAAAGTTCGACTATCATCTAAAGTTGTGAAATTAGCGACTGCCTAGCGGGGTGAAATAGCGCCGTGCGTTACGGGAAATAATACTTATTTTCAGTTTGTAGTTCTTTTAGCTACTACTAAACCTAAACGTTGAATATAAGGTGTACGTGATAAATAACAAATAAATGTACAAAATTATTGAACATGTTTTAAATAATATTAATTACTAGTGGCCGCCAGCGACTTCGTCCGCGTTTTCCATTATTACTTCGCTCCTAATAGTTGCAGCGTGATGTTATATAGCCTAAAGCCTTCCTCGTTCAATGGTCTATTCAACACAAAAATAATTTTTCAATTCGAACCAGTAGTTCCTGAGATTAGCGCGTAGCTTTATAATATTAGTATAGATTGGCCTACTACAGGGTTCAAAATTTGGTCAAAACTATCAAATCCTTCAGTATAAAAAATGGCAGGTGGTACCAGAGTTTTCTCTTCGGCTTTATTATTTAGTACCTAAATATTATACTATCGATATTTCTCCAGCTTTCACCATAAATACTAATAAATAAATTTAATATTAAAAGAATACTTTCTGGGTAGTCAGTCTCTATAGAGTCTGCGATGGCAATTAACGGAATTCGGTTGCTAAATAATTTATTGATATTTTTATAATTCTTCCACCTACTGGAAGCTACATCAAACGCGAGTGACATTGACTAAGTCGCAGGAAAACTACAAATCCATAGATCCGATTTTGGACTCCGAAAATAAAGCCAAGTTAGGTAATACATGGACATACAATAACAATTGCAGGAGCACGCTGGTTCAGTGCGGGTGGGTGTTATTCACAAAAAATGCAGTCATCCCTGACTGCTCGAGAAAATAAAACTTTGACCACCCTACGACCGGCCCTCGTATAAGTATATGCACCGTCACAGTAGAGTATAACCTCAACCTATCTTGAAAATTGAAAAAAAAAAACTAAAAATACTATAATAACACTTTATTGTTCCATAGATGATTTGAAAACATTCAAAGTAAAAACATCATTAAATATTTTGGCATTCTCATTAATAAATATTCATACATCGACATAAAACATTAAAATTTTATAATCTGCTACATTGCACATTTAAGTATACATAAATCGTAACATCCAAAGTAAATACTGTTCAAACATTTAACACATATAAAATATTCTATGTTACTACGCAACTATCGACTTGGGAACACAACAGCTATGTCGGAACAAAGTAAGTTAATTAGAAAGTAGAATTTTCAAGGTCACGGGTAAATAAATCCATGCCGGCCGGCCGCGCAACTGTACCCTGTATTCGTCTCACAACAATATCCTGTTACCTCACCCACCACATAAATTAAAGCATAATACTTAATAGTAAGGTAAATAGTTATAAAATAGGGTCAAAAATATAAAATTTTCAAAATATCATAGAGATTCTTAAATAGACTAACATATTGTTCTACAGCAGAAATGTTTATAATCAGACTCTTAGGTTATATCATCAGGAATGTGCATAGCTTACAGCTAAGGGTTCCCTAAGAGTGTTTAACACTACATCACACTAGGATCGGGGCGTCTAACGTCGATTCCTTATTCTAAGAACAACTGAATATAGACATCTAATACATCAAACATTGAAAATTCGAAAATAGATACCGAGCTACATTCGAGTTATGTGTTGCTGAGCTGACTTGATGAATATTGTGCCACCTTTATGACTAATTAATTATACTTAATATTAATTACACTTAGTTATGAAATAAAAAACACGAACAATAATGGCAAGAGATATTAACAGCCTGGTATCATTGACGATACATAAAAAACAATAAATTGACGTTAAGTACAATAGTTTACGAACTCACTCATATTTTTTTAAACAATGACATTTTCAAAAGAGGTTAGGGCACAAATAACCTCTTTTTTGGAAAAAAAAAAGAAAAAACAACGCCCCTAAAATAAATTAATGTGACCGTATAGGTGTTTGCGTTCAAATCTCATAGTTGCGGAACTTTGAGATAACTTCAGATGGGGGTTCCTGGTTGCCGCCACCCCATCTGCCCCAGAGAGCAGCTCCTCCTTCAGAAGCGCGACGAGCAGCGGAGTTACTGGGGCCGAGGCTCGATGGGCCGGAGGCCTTGCCGACTTCGCTTTCTAACATGCGATCCTTTGTGTTTGGCTTGGACCAGTGCATGGACTGCTGCACATGCTCCTTCATGCCGAGCCATTGCTTATAGCCCATGGCGATGCCGCTCTGCCTCCATTTATCGTAGAGAGCACGCTTGGAGGGATCGCAGAGAGTTTCCTTCGCCTCCTGTAAATAATAAATATCTTGTGTTCAATATAATTTACGAAAGAACATAACTAACTTTTGTTTAAACATTCTTTATCTTTAAATAATATAACATTCTAGTTTTATCAAACTGTTTTTGTAACTTTTAAAAGACGAAGTTTTGAGTTACCTTTAGTTTTTGAAATTTCGCTTCAGCTTCTTTATCTCCATCGTTCTTATCGGGGTGATGCTGCAAAGCGAGGATCTTGTACTCGGCTGTGATTTGTTCAATCTGGAATTTTAAAATAACATTCTTAATCCACGTTACGGTATTCCCCAAACACAAATTGCCTCCACAAATAATGACGCATTACGCTAACGAGTTTTCGTGGGAGATTTTCCTCGAGTGGATTCATAAATATAAAAGCAACTCAGATTTATACAATGAAATAGCAAAACTATTATAAATTTGAAATTGTAGAGTAAAATTAGTTAAACTGGGTCAATTCCAAGAGCCTCGAAAATAATAAGGTCACTGGGCAAATGTAATCAATATAGACTTTTTTGAAATCACTTTCTAGATACAATATTTAAAGCATCGAAGAAGTAATTTATGGTATGAATTTAATACTCACGGATGAGTTTTCATCACAGCCTAGCAGACCATAAAAATCGTCTTCAGGATTCCTTTGATAATTTAATATTTCATCCACTCCAGTCATCTTCACGACCCTCCCACGCGTAACCCCAATAGATACTAGCTGGGTACAGTTCGTTCAAGAGTGTGTGTGTTCGTGTTACTGTTATATTTCGATTCATTCACCTTTCATTCATGTCAGAGTAGCGTCATTCGTTCAAATGGTTGATGTTGCAAGTCTAAAATATTAAATTCAGTAGTCTCTATAATTATAATATTGGGATTCGACTGTCAACTTTGATGTTGAAAATAATACAGAAAAGTAAACAGTTTGATAATAAAGAAATAGTAGAAAAAGCGTTGAGTACATGTGTTGTCCTCCGAAAGAGGAAAAGAAGTTTATCTTTAGAATTAAGTTATATTTGAATACCAAGAAATTTTTCATCTATTTTTCTCAAAAGGGATTTTCCAATTATTTTGTTAATATGTATGTAGATACACTACATTGGAATTATTGTAAGGGATACTTAATTCATAATTATCTAAAGTAGAACATTAGTAGCTGTTTTTAAACAAAAAATTACATTTATGGTGTAAATAATTCTTTTTTGTATAATTTTTGTAAAAAAAGTACCTGGCAGCCCTATTAAGCTTAGAACGAATGACTGAATGTAGAGACGAACTAAAATCAATACAGGTACGGCAACAACTACAACGTGATAAGCGAAGGTTAATACTCATATAAACAGGGGGCGTACTCTTACAATTCACTAAATCGTGATCTCTAGCGTACTTTATCCTACTCTACAACATTGATAATACGCAAGTTAAAGCAGCACAAACAACGAATAAGTTTACGATATAGTAAATGTAGATTTTTAAGAGTATGCAGGTACATTAAAAGTGGTTAAAGGGAGTAATAATAAGGTGTAATACTGTAGATTTTATACTAATTGTATATTTCAAGTAATAGAAAATATTGGAAGTCTAGACTTACATCGTATAGTCGAGTAAAAGTAATTATTTAAGCAAATATGTCCTTAAACTCAAGTGATTACCTACTTATCTCTTTTAAAGAAACTGTGTTACTGCTACTCTTCTGAAGCGTTAAAAAATATTTAATCGACATTATTAAAAACAAGAAATGAAAAAAAAAAATAAGTAGAGGCAATGTCTTTTAATTTAATGTCGCAAATCTCAATTCACTAAAGACGTTTTAATTTGTAAATATATGAAATTCGATGAGAGTAGTTAAAATATACAATATCCAAACTTAACTAAACTAAAATAAATGTAACCTTATTAAATTTGGGTTTGTTTTAATTTTATTCCGTAGTCACATGTAAACTACAAAATATAATTGACAATATTGGAACAAATTTTAATATAATATTGGTCTAATTGCGCAACAGAAGTGTTACTAATATCTACTGTGCTAAGGTCTACCGATTTAGATATAAATCTGCCAAAGTAACTTAAAAGGCGCAGAAAAGCTTGGAGCGCAGTTACCGTTATCTTCGTTCATAAGAATAAACTGGCTGCAAAATTACATTACGTTTAATAGAAAATGGGAAACAACGTGAAAGCTATTTTCGCATAACCTAACGTTGTATGTATGTAAATTGATTGTGATATTTATGTATGTGTATGTATTTAAGTAGGTATGTTTTTGTAAAAACATGTTTTCTCGCCATGAATTGTCTTTATTCAAGTAAGCTTGTTACAAGCACTTTTGAATCGTTTGCATTACGGTCCTTAAAATATATTTAGATAAACCGCGGTTGCCTGGAAGAAATTGCTTTTTAGCGAAAAGGCTGATTAATTGTACCACAAAATTGTATCGATGGTCCTATTATTAAATTATGGGGTACAATAAAAGTATTCATTCATTAACGATTACTCGCAATAATTAATATAAATTATAAGCTTTTTAGGAATTCTATTAACGAACTTTACAGTGTTTCACATATTCTATTTTATTGAGGGTTAAATACAATTTTCTGGGAATAAATATATTGAAATATAAATTGAACCAGCTGAGAACGTAAATTAACAATAATGGAGATTTTTTACGTCTTGTGGTTTACTAGTAAAAAAAAAAATCGAGTTAAAATATATTTTGCATTCACAATGCTATACTGGAAAATTATTATAATTTTTTTTTTTCAAAAAAGTTTGAGAAATAAATTAATGTGTATCCAATGGAAAAAACATTTTTATAAAAGAAAATATTGTCATCGCTTACAAAATTGCTATTAAATAGATTTCAGTAACTAAGATAAATCTTGAATAGTAACTTGTACTCATTTATACGATATGATTATTCTTATTGACTTTGATTTTTTACTATGTACATTTATACCTTATTTAGTTATTGTACTAGTTTTATCGATACTGTGTGATTTCCAAATGAAAAAAAAAAATACTGTAATACAAACAGAATTAAAGCACCAAAAATCTTAACCTTATCTTATACGTAGAGATTATTAAAAATGCAATTGTCCGGATTTCGAAAAGTCATTAGTTCGAGTCCTATCTCAGAGTTCCGGACGAGGTGGAACTTTTAAACATTTTTCATAAAACATATTTTCCAGTATAGCATTATGAATAAAAATAGATCAAATATAATAATTAGAACTTATTCATTTTATATAAGATTTTTTTTTCAGAATTTCCTTACAGAGTTATTTTTACGAATGGGACTTCTTTTAAAAGAAAATTTGAACTCAGCCAAAACTTTGTTAAGTATATTAAAGCGAGTTTTTATGTAAATGGAATTATTTTGTGATTTATGAATAAAAATATCAGATAAAATAATATCTAGTAACTTGAATATGATTATTTAAATATTTTGTATTACAATCTTTAAAGCAAATACGAAGGCTGGCGGACGACATTGCATATTCCGTGCATGCTCTAGACATTGGCGTCCCAACACGATTTTGCATCAAAAATAGCTCAGAAGACGCGCTGAACGCAAGTTCACGAGACTCGTCGTCCTCTCCGGCCGCGTACGCGCAGATCTGTAAAACATGCCGCAGTTTTTAAAACAATAGTGCAGCTATGTTTTGGTGTAAAGGTCGGTAGTGACAGTCAACGAACTAGACGCCGTCGCAGCAACCATCTTTGGCAGCGGAAGCAGCGGCGGATGTCCCGGCAATGGGTAAGCCTGGCATATGAATGCTAACAATACTCTTGTGCTCCCACATTTCCTATTCGAACCGTGTCTCGCCGAAAGTTTGTCAACCTTTAATTTTTTTTGTTGAGATTTTATAATTGATGCGGTGGTACAATGAGGTTTACAGCTTTTTTAACGTGTCGACATTTCGAACATAAAATAGAAATAAAAAAAAGAAACAGAAAAATAACAAAACAATAACAGACACAAATCCCCATCAGATAAAAATAACAACCAAAACTCAACATACTATTCCGAATTCAGATAAAACTTTAAATCAGCTGCGTCTATGAGGTTTAAATATTTAGACATTTTTAGTAATGCGGCATACACATATACCAACATATCTCGTATTTTTAAGTGTTGAATCACTTTTCTGAAAACACAATATCGTGTCGAATCAATATTTCCAGAAACATAATAAACAGTAACAGTACCAACTATATTAATCAATGTTACGAAAAGGTGTTATTATGATGTTTACACAGAGTTTTAACGTCAATATAGTAAGCTTATATTGCTCTATTTTTATCACGATTCTATAACTACTTACTTCAAAGGTGAGTTACGATCGTGCGGGGGCTTGATGTTAGGTTGGATATCAAAATTATTTTTTCAATTTCAATTTATTTATTAGCCATTTATAACAATATTGTTATACATGGTATGTATGTCAGTTCACAAATCATAGTATTTATTTAATTATACATATCATTAATTAAATGTAAAAGTAATAAAGTTTACTAAAGTTTTACAGTATCTCATTCAAATTTTGAAATTCTTAAAATACTTTAAGAAATTTCTAAGCTTTCCAACGACTGAAACTAGAGATCTCCATTAGTGAACCTAATACATTTTCCCAGCTACTTTTAAACTATACTCGTAATTCAATGAGTACTGATTCTCTAACATTGGGACTTCCTTGCTCAAAGTTTGTGTACAGTTTATAAAGAAGACTTATGAGCCTCAAGGGAGGGTATTAAAAAGTTTATATACCGATACGTCTCTCGTTTGCCTACTTTAAAAAGTTCCTAGTGTAAGGTTTCCTAAGACATGATATACTCCCATTTGAGTCGAGTTATAAATCACTGTACTGTAAATAGAGTCACCATCATAATAAAAATGGAATATCTACATTGTAGGTACTCGAATAATCCATTCAGTCTCAGGTAAGCCGACACACACGGTGAAGGGGAGAGCCAACATCATAATGGTTAATTAAAAAACTCACATCACAAATTTTTTCAGAATAATGTGTTGTCCTTATTTATTCATTCATTAACATCAAAAAACTATATTACGTTTATTTGTTTTTTTTTTATACAAATTTGTTATAAATGCTGAATAGAGGAAGGAAGCTCCTCTATCAAATTTCTTCTTTCGAAAAAAGCATAGATACCGAGCTGATTTTCTATTAGCAGCGTCTGCTCAAAGAAACTTGACGCCCTAGGCACCATACTGGAACTTGGCGCCCTAGACAAAACACTGGAACGACAACGACCTAGGTAAAACTCTGGAACGACAATCCTCTTAAAAAGTCCCAACAAAATAAGACTAATATAAACACACCGATTAAAATTTGTAATTTTGCCAAAGGCAAAAGAAGTCCATGTCCGCGATATTGAAAAGTACCTACATGTGAATATTGCGGACACGGACTCATATTCAAGGTATATAAGACATTTTTTAATGTAATTTATTAAAAAAAAAATTTGAGCAAACGTAATCTGTTTGACATGCCATGCCGCTCTTCAAGTACGAGCACCTTAGGTAGTTGCCTATTTTGCCTGTATGGAACAGGTCCTGATAATAATCTATTAAAGAATATATTTTCATCAATTTTGTATTCGCAATGGTATACCGGAAAATATTATGGGATTTGACAACCCAAACGCATTGCGGAAGGCCATGAGTTCGAATCCCTTCCCGGCTGCATCTGCAGACGT